TTCAAGGGCTCAGTTCATATTTCCAAGGCAGAAGAAAAATAATTGCTTGCCAGTAGGAGAAGCAACAATTGGACTGACCGGAATGGTGAAACACCAGTGGGGTTTTTTGTCTCAGGGAAAGAAAACAAATGCAGTGTATTACCCAGTGTAAAGGGGTGTCTGAGCATCAGCTGAAGGCGAGTGGTCAACTCTCAAGATAAGCACCTTTCCTCGGTGGGGAGAGAAGTTGTTACACAAAATGGAATGAGGCAAATGAAGTTTTCTTTGTGGATGAAGTGTGGGAAACAGTGCTGACAGCCAGCTCAATGGGCTGGTGAAACAGCAGCCCCAGGGAGACTGTTCAAAGGCTCTTTCGTTTACTTAATGAAGTGTGGTTGAGTTTTGACCCCTCAGCTTCAGTGCCTGAGGTTTTCTGTGAATGTTTTAGGTCTTGCTCCTATCCCTGAGCTCATTGGCTACTCAGAGAATTTTTTTAATCATATTTCCCTAGATTTGTAATGGGTTTCTTTCTTGCTGCGTGAAAGGCCACGCAACTGACAGAACAAATTCATCATATGGTGAAGCTGGGAGAGGGACCAAGCCCAGGAGCCCTTTGGAAGCACTGGGGACGGGAGAGGACCTTAGCCAGCTTGAGCAAACCACATCCCCAGGCACTGCCTGGTGAACAAGGCTCTGGCATTTACCAGTTCCCACAGCACTTGTAACAACAGCAGGTTAAAGAAATCAGTTTTATTTAGAGAGAAGGGACTTCTCTTAAAACTTTTGACCAAGGTCTTTTAAACCACAGTGGATAATGCACCGTACTGCATGATGTGTTCCTGTAGTGGCCGGGGCTCCTGTTACCCTCATTAGCAAAGTTTTATCCTTTGCAAAATACAGACTTGCTCTCCCTTCTCCAGAGGTTACTGCCAGGAGCACGGCTTCTCCCCCCTCCCTCCCTCCGGACCCCCAGCTGGGGACCTGCCCTCCCGCACCCAACCCCAGCAGCAGCCCTGCTACCACAGCTGGGGAAAAGTAACACCAGAGAAACACATTTTAGGCTCCACTTTGCAATTTAAGTTAAGGAGAAGGACCTGGGCAGGCAGCCCCCAGCTGCTGCTCTGTGTGTGGCTGCAGGTCCCTGGCTCAGATCGCTGGTACCGATGATCTTGCTGCAGTCCTCCGTGCTGGCACAGGGCTGATGGTGAACGACACCGTGTCAGCCTGTGATATCACAAAAATATCTGAGTCGAGGCTGCAGTGAGTTTCTTTTGCTGGCCCAGCACCTGCAGTGCCGTCAGCCTCTTGGCTAGAGTACATAGAAGTCATTGTTGTTGGACAGGTCACTGTAATGGCAGAGGGCGAGAGCGGGAGCCTGTGCCGGTGGGGGCTCGGGTCGACTTCTGCCCTGAACCCCCTGCACCGTGGGTCTGCCCGAGCTTGACTTGCAGAGATGAGTGTCCCACCTGGGCTCAGGCACAGCCCGATGCTTGCGCTTGAGTCTATTGCTGCCATTGCAATAGGTCCCACAACACTGGCACGTCAAGAAGTGCTTGGCTCGGTGTTTGGCCTTTGACTCAGGGGCCGGGGCTGTCCCTCTGGGAGTGAGAGTCCCCGCTGCGGTGCCCCGTGGGTCAGGCTGCCCTTTCAACCGGCTCCTTCTCCTCTGGACAGGGTCCAGGCTGATGTCTGACTGGGAGGAGCAGCTCTCGTTCCAGCCAGAGCCAGCGCTCAGGCTGCGCAGTGGCAGGGCAAGCCGCAAGGCCTTCCAGAACTGGGAGCCGGAGCGCTTGGACTTCTCCCCCTTCCAGGTGACGAAGGAGACGGACTCCTTCAGCTGGAGGATGCTGGGGTGGGTGCACTGTAGCGGCCTGTACTCCACCACGATAAGTTTGGTGGCGATGGCATTCTGGCACATGATGCCCAGCTTGAACTCCAGGAGGCTGATGCTCTTCTCCGTCAAGTAATCGGGACTCAGGACCACGATCATCCTGCGGCTCCTCTGGATGAAGTCGAACACGGCCTCGGTGGTATCTACGAGTGCAAGAGCAGAGGAATTGGAGTGCACAAGGGAAGGAGTGGGGAGAGAAAAGCTGAAGGAAGCTGTTTGGTGGCATACCTGCACAGGTCCCCCCTCCCACAGAGGGAAACCTGGCACAAGCCCAGTGACTTTTGATTTGCCCACGCTCCTGCTGGCAGGGACTGCAGGAGCAATAGCAGCATTTTTGCTTTGCAGTGGGTTTTTGAGAAGGCTGAAGTGGTAAATGAAAAGCCAGGAGAGCAGGATAAGCCAAGACTGTACTCTGACTTCTGCACTGCACGGCATCGCTCCTGCCCAGGGAAGTGCAGGCGTTTGATAAAGGGCAGGTCTCATTCAGGAACCACCTGCCCAGAGCTCTGGCAGCCCTTTGCATGGGGGGGACAAAATGAAGCAACCACATCATCGTGTCACAACTCGCACTGCCAAGGCTAAGACCCACCTCCCTCCCTCTCATGCTCTCTCATCTAGAAATGGAAACCTCCAAACCTAGAAAGCAAAAATGTCAGCCTGAAACCTCTCTATTAGTTCCCCTAGCCATGATGGGGGGGTGAAAATGCTGCCCTTCAAAGCATTTCTTGGGATTAATTGCAGTTTGTAAAGCTCAGCAAGATGCTTAGCTGGAATGGTGCCAGGCAAGGGCAGCATCTCTTTTATTATGAATGTAGAAAAGTGGCAAACTTGAAGGATGTCCTTGGACTTCTATCTATGGCTTGGGATGCACTAAGCATATTGAAGGTGTCATGGCTAATGGGTGAGCAGTGGAAAGGATGGAAATTAATAGGGCTGCAGTACTTAGCAAATTAACCCAAGCTGATTAATAGAACTGTAAAAACTTCAAAAAGAACCCACCCGCTTGCTTAGTACTGGTGACTCAGACGGGAAACGATCTGAGGACAAGGTGGTGTTCAAGCAGGACAGGGATCATTGCAGTAAGAGCTTTTGCACACTCAGAGAGAAAAGCCTCCCTGTAGGAATGTCTTGTAAAGACCTGTTCTGGGGAGAATAGCTACCTGCTGCTTCCACTGCCTTTCAGACGGCTAAACCTTTGATTCCTCAGTCTGGAGACTCTCCTCCCTCCCTGCCAGTGGAAGAAATGTCTTTTTTATAAATACAAATACTGTACCTTCCCTGCAACGGCAGTGCCTCTTATTCTTCCAACACCTGTCTGTCTCTTTCCTTATCTCACAGCAGAAGGTGCACCGTGTTGCACCTGGATGCACCTTATTTTAATATTGTACAAAGCAATGTTTTTTTTCTTTTTTTTTAAAGATACATGACTAGCTCTAAAACTCATTGTCACTAGATTATTTGGAGAACTTGCGATAGGAAAAAGGATTGAACAATAATATCCTAATGGAGAAAGTAAGGCACTGTTTGGTTCTTTAACATAATACTGGAATTTAAATCAAATTAGTTGCAGGGTTTTTTACAAGGTTTGGGGGGATTCCCCCCCCACCCCGGCCCCGGCACACACAGGAAAATACTGACTCACAGAAACCAAAAGTAGATGATAGTCAGTCCTGTCAGAATTGCCTCTTAACACCATGAAATGTTCTTACCACCCTATTTCAAAGGCACAAAGAACTGGCAGCAATCTCCCAATTTACTGAGTCCAGACCTCATTCAAAACTTTCTATAACTGATTGAGATCTATTTTGAAATCAGCCAAGCTTTAACATTTTGTGAAGGAAAAAGGTCCTTTGCTGGTTTGAAAAGTCTTTCTTTTTGAAACTGGAATCACAGCGAAACGTAGGCAGGCGCAGCCCCTGGGAGGTCACCTATTCTACCTGCCTGCTCAAAAAAAGGTTCAATTAATGTGAATGATTCCAACATTGCTGAAATGAATGTTTTTATTGAGCTGACAGTGATGGTTTTCTTTTATCAATTTTAATTTGCAACACATTTTGAGAGTTGACATTTTTTTGGCAAGGGGAAATGCTCAAATTCCCAAAGATAGATCTTATTTCTGAGAACGGGATGCATTTAGACTTGGCTGACCAGGATATCTTGGGATGTTCAGTTCACAATGTAATCCCAGCTCACGAAAAATCCTGAGGGGCCACTTCACAGTGTGCAGGCAGGACGGTCTCTCCCAGTGACACCAACAGCACAGGATGGGACAGGCAGCAATAATGCTGGGGGAGTTTGGGTAACAAGAGAGCTGAGAACTCTATATTCTTGGATTGCTGCTTTATACTAAAAAACTTCCATCTTTATTACATGGTTATGAAGGACCCTGCATATTTTTGTTGGTTTACTTGTGTTTCCTCTAATGCACCCTAGAGATGTAACCGAGGATTTTAAAAGCCATACATTTGTCCCAGCACAATAAAAGCTGTGGGGAGAGGTGGGCATAGATCCCATACCCCATTGATTATCACAAGTTTCACATCCATTGATTGTCACAAGTATTCATTTTGCTAGTGGTCTGGAAGTGCTAGGTTCTCTCTCAACTTACCTGCTAGCATGTAAACAAAGGACTAAGCCAAGAAAGTGGCTTGGATGAGAAAATAGGCAGCTGAATGAACCTCTTCTACCCAACTACCTGGAAGGTGACGGGCAAAGCAGCCTAAGAGCGAGTTTGATTTCCATGGTTCAGGCAGATTTCCAAGCTTTCTGTTCAACATTCTAGCTTGGCCTTTCAAGCAAAGGGATGGTGTTTCCTTCCCACCTTTACACCTTGTGACTGATGAGCGAATACTCTTCATGTCAGAGATTTTTTGTGTGTACATGTCCACTGCTGGGTGACATCTGAATGCTGCATGTCACTGTGTCTGCTTCCATGGCCCTGGTAGCAGTGGTGGTGCCTCAGGATCTCTGCAGGCACACCATAAAACAGCCAGGAAAGTGCCCTGCTCTAAGGAGGTATCCCCAAATGATCTTGAGGCTTGGACTACACAGAGTTATCTTTCCTTAATGGCCTTTCACAGATGTAATGGGGAGGAAAATGATACTTATGAGAAATGCACAAGGACTGAAATGCAAAAGTGAAAATGTTTTATTGAAAAGCAAAATAAAATAATACTGACACTTCACAGACCAAATAACACAAAGGCAAAAACATACAGAAAAGAGAAGGGAAAACTCTGGAACAGCTGTACAACATCAAATGGCATGGGGCGGGGGGAGACATTTTTTCCAGTTTGTGCCGTGCTGTTTACCCATGAAATTACAATGAGGAACTTCGCATGAACTGCATATTGAAAAATGTTAGATTAGAACACAAACTCAGATGAATCAACTGAACTAGACAGATGCTGTGACAGAATCCCGTAACAGAAACCACATGTGGCATAGGATGAAATGACAGGCGTGTTTGAGGTACTTTGCAGATCTGAATTACAGCTGGGACTGGGGTTTAGCCCTGGCCTGACAGCTACCAGCAAAGCCAGAGGTAAAGCTCCTGGAGGACTAGAGCCTGCTCCAGTGCTATTCCTTCCATGCTGCTCCCTCTGGACCTCTCAGGCCCCCTTCAGACCATCGCACCCTTTGCCTTGTGGGTGCTCTGCTGATGTCTCTCAGTGATGCTGTTCTGGGGTTGCAGTGGCACCAAGGGCCACTGTGATGTACGCCAGGGCAACTCCTGGTCTGTTGTTTGTTTGGAAAACTCTTTGAATAAAATCAGCAGAACAAATGAGGTGGATTTCACTTCTTAAAATAATCAGACTAATTGAAACATCAGCAGAAGTTCTCCTGGTACTTCAGCCAAAGGAAAGATGTGATGTGGTGAGGTCTGGGATGTTAATTGAATATATGCATATCTTTGAGTCAATTTTTTAAAAATTAAATTGGAATCTAACACAGTTCTGCTTTGGCCTCAGGGCTTTCCCTTCGCCTGCAGATCTGGCAGCTGATTACAGGGACACTGAAGACACAAAAGTGAAGCTGGGCAAAATGATGCAGATGCAATGGCTTCACAAAGCTGAGGATGGTTTTGGGTGTTACCTCATACAAACAAAGCTTTCTGCAGAGTGGGAAGGAGCTTTGCCCCTCCACAGACAGCCACAGTAGAAAAGCTTGTAACAGCAAAGCTTTTAAGCACTTCTGAGAAGCTGAGGAGCTCCACTGCCTTCAGTGAAGCTGACTGCAATTTTATCTGCTTAAAGCAGAGCTTAGTTGGGAGAGTGGGAGGAAGAGGATGAAGGGGAAGGTTCCACATTTGTACAGTACCTGCCCAATGGCATGGGTGGCTGTGGCTCCCCGCTGCCCTGAAATAACATTATTAATCATAAGATGCTAAGAGCAGGGGGTGTTGCCGATGCCAGGCTTCAGCCCCACACCTTTAAGGCTGGGCTGGTTACAGGGATGGCCTCAAACCTCCCTGCTCAGCTGGGTGAATAGTGCATAGACTCCAAATTGTAGTGCTTTTTTAATGCCATTATGAATGGCTACACTTCACCTGCTGGACACCAACAGAGCAAAAGCATGAGTCAGAGCTGACTCAGGAGCAACCATTATCAACAAAAAATAAGCATGCACTTAGTGTGCATAATACTGAATTCCACAATTAAGTGGGCAGGCCCTTACACTGGGAGCTACAGGAGCATGGAGACACCCCTAGAGCTTCTAGTTTTATGTGAAAACATGGTGAACAGTACAAGTCAATGCCAGGATCCTGCTGTGCTTTGGTCTTTTCTACAAGGGAAGGGACTCTCCCCTCCTTGGTCTGAAAAGCCTGACTGATGGGGTTAACTCACCAGGCCCTCTCCTATGGCTGCTGCCTCCCATTGAAGCAAGGACTGGTACTCAGTGTTTTTTTATATTTCCATTTTGTGCAAAGGTTGCAAAAGCTGAGATATATCCTCTGTTCTGCAACTCTGGGCTGGAAACATGATGGGTGGAGATTTGCCTTGTAAAGCCAAGGCTAGTTTAAACCCGAGCCCTGAATTACAAATGTGATGTTGTTCATAGCCAGGCAGAGAACACTGCATTTCCATAAAATCATAGAACAGTTTGGGTTGGAAGGGAGCTTTACAGGTCATCTAGTCCAACTCCACTGCAATAAGCAGGGACATCTTAAACTAGACCAGGTTGCTCAGAGCACCGTCCTAAACTGACCTTGACTGCTTCCAGAGACAGGGCATCTACCACCTCTCTGGGCAACCTGCTCCAGTGTTTCACCACCCTCATTGTAAAAAAAATTCTTCCTTTAATTTAGTCTGAATCTATCCTCTTTTAGTTAAAAACCATCACCAGTTGCTCTGTTGCAACAGGCCCTACTAAAAAGTCTTTCCCCAACTTTCTTATAAGCCCCCTTTAAGTATTGAAAGGCCACAATAAGGTATCCCCAGAGCCTTCTTCAGTTCTTCTCCAGGCTGAACAACCCTATCTCTCTCAACCTTTCCTCACAATCTTACCTGGCTGGACAGAGCTAATAGTTTTTAATAAGGTCAAATAGGTTTATAGGGTCTCCTGGGGAGCTGGACATATACCCAGTGTCATCCGAGAGGCCTCAGCAGCACCTGGCATGATGCATTCTCCCAGGCAGCAGCACAGACACAGCAGGTGTATTCAGTAGTAAATTGGGGTTCCTTGCAGTGCTTGTGAAGTCCCTGAGTTTACTCTACAAAGAAGCATCTCTCAGACATACTCCATGGCCTGTACTAATGAGAGATTTCCCCTGGATTATGAGCATTACTGCCCTGAAGGTTCTGGGGTACTCAGAAGACAACTGAGTCACAGACACTGACCACTTATTAGTAGAAATGCTACAATACAGTATCACCTAGCAGAGCTTTTTTTTTTTTTTTTAAATAAAAAAAGCTTTCGTACCAGCCATTTCACATTGCCAAGCTATTTTAATGTATCTGCTCCTACAGAAATGTGGGGAACAAAAATGAGGACCCTCAAGAGTCTACACTCCCCACATTGAAGCAGAAATCTGTGATCCCACAGCAATCAGGACTATATAGCTGGGACACGTATGAAAGGCTCTATACCAGAGCCATCTTTCAAACTGCTCCCCAGCCTCTGCAACAGGGACCACTGGCCAGGAAGCAAAAAGGCGCTTAAGAGAGGAAAAGCAGCTCTGTCCTGGATGCTGATAAAGGTCTGATACTGGCCTATTCAAATACCATGCTATCACATGGTGGTGGTTGCATTCCCACCTGGATAGCCCAAATTTAAACCTTGAGAGAGCTTGTATGGCTGATGCTAATGATATGCATTTACAGAGAGAAGGTGTGTGCATCTTTGGTCTCTCTACTGCCAGGGCAGTAGAAAAGCTGCAGAGACGCGTGACTGAAATGCTTGGGACAGTCCTTCATGGCAAAAGCCCCGAGTTCCTTTCCACGCCCTGGCCTAAATTGTAGGGTTTTGGGGTTTTGTTTTCTGGTGGTGTCAAACATTTCTCAGGCATATGTATGAGCACATCAAGGCTCAAGCTCCTGTTGATTTTTTTCACTGGCATTTTCACCTGCAGCTGCTTCCAGAACCTGCCCTTTGGGAACTTGGATTTCTCGCCTTTCCATTTAATGACAGTCAAGGCCGCCTTGGCCTGCTTCAGCTCCTTCACTTTGCTCTTCTTGATGGCTTTGTACTGCACTAGAATGACTTTGATGTTGCCCTTGGAGGCCATGTTCTCTAAACCAGCCTTGAGCTCCAGCAGGGCCTGTGTCCCCTGCAAGACGTAGTTGGGGCTCAGGACAACAAGTAGACGTCGGCTTTTCTGGATGAAGCTCAGGGTTTCGTCTGTGACAACTGGGAGAAAGAAACATTGAGGTGGTTAGTGATGACTGAGAACATGCTGCTGAGCTGCTAGTGAGACACCAGATGTCTCTTGAAGGGAACAATAACATTCCTTGGAGGCCCTTTCTAGAGACTACACTGGTGCTTCCCAACTCTGCAAGAAATTCCAGGAAGGACTTCCTACACCCTGGCTGGTCTCCACTGCCCCATACAGTGACATCTTCTACTCTCAGCCCCAGGCTGACTACAGATGTGTTTCCTCATCCCCAGCTATGCAGAAGTAGCTACACTTAAAAGGCACTGTACTATGTGGCAATGGACGCCATGTGGGCGCCAGGGCTGCTCTGGTAGACTCAGATTTAGCTTCCTTCTTGTGAGAGTGAAAAAAGAGGTGCTCTGGAGAAAAGCAGGAAAATTGCTACCTGGACAACACACGGCCTCAAGGAAAAGAAATAGAGGTGTGGGAAGCCTAAATACCTACACTTACATCCTTCTCTAGCAGATGTTCAGAATGACTCTGAGTAATCCCTTCACTACTCTGCCTTGGTTTCCCCACTCCAAACATACACAATAAGTATCCATACCCTCCCTGGGTGTCCTCATGGGTTAATCTCCTTTGGAAATATTACCATCCTAACTCCTGTTACTCATCCAGCTGTTCCCGTTGCTGTCATTGATGAAAGAGGATTTGAGTGTTTCTAGAAGTGACAAGTAAATTGCTCTGAGGACTTTTAATGAAGTGTCCCAAAAGTGACACCCTTTAAGCTGGAGACATGTCATGGTAACTGTGGATCCTCTTTGATTTTCTAACATTTGTAGGTAGACTGTCCGTAGGCACCTTTCTGTAACTAATGTGAAAATTTCTTGTAAGTGTGAATCCCAGTGATTGCGCTCTTTGCTGCAGGATCTCCCATGCTTCATTGACAAGAGAATGCTCTTGACTGGTCAAAAAATACAATGAAGAATAAAATAATGCTGACAGGCAACTTCATTTAGCTGTCAAGCACGTTTGATTAGTTCCTGTCAGCAAACTCACAGGATAATCCATCTCCCACTGTTTCTTCATCAAGGACAACATAACTCTCTAGCCCTGACACAGATGCACTCTCTGGAGGCATGACACCAGCTGCCAAAAAGCTATTTCCTGGCCTGCTGTGCTTCCCCAGGAAGGAGATTAGTCAAATCCCAGCTAAGAAACAACGGGGAAGCCCCAGCAGAAGCAAACAACAGTGCAATGAGGAGCCACCTCAGCAGTGCTCCAGAGTGACTGGCATTGAGCAGCAAAGGGAGCACTTCAGGTGGTGGTCAGGAAGCCCAGGAGAGCTATGCTGGGAAGAAAATGAGATTCTCCAAAGGGAAAGGGGAAGGATGGCAAGAAGTGGCAGAAGGAACAGGAGGGAGATGTACTTATGTCTTGATGAACAACTGGGGAGAACAGCTCGGAGCAAACCTGCTCTGAGCCTGGCACTGGCATCAAGGAAATAGAGCTGGGAGGGTGCCCTACCAGGTCATCCAGGCTCTCTCTAGAAGAGAGTGTCCTGGCAACAATCTAGGAAATAAATAGATCCCAGACTGATTCTGCTCCTTTTTGTCACGCAGCTGGTCTGGGACTTCAGCAGTCCTGCCTGTCTACCCAAGAGGGAACCCAATGGACTTTATCAGCACAGGTTCTGCCATCAGTGGGGTCCTGGCCCAAAGCCCATGAATTCAAAGTGGGGTGGTCTGCACTGGTGAAAGTTCAGGCTTCAAACTTTAAGTAGGAATCAGGGATCATACAGCCAACTCAGCCCCCAGGACACTGGAAATTGAGAGTGCCCTTGCTGTGGCACCAGTGTGACTGTATGCCTATCTGGAGAGCTTCACAAGCTTCCATTCTTGGTGATTCCTTGCATCCCTCCAGCAGATGCTGTGTTCAGAATCCTGTATGATTTAGCTTGAAACAATGAGAAAAATATTACATCTTAGCGAAGAGGTGAGTCTTACTACCTGCAACAAAGTACCCTTGATATAGTAACTTAATTGTCTGCCATGTTAGGCACAGGCTCTCTAATTAAGGAGGGTGAGTGGGACGCCTTCTAGGAGGGCATGTTATTTTCTCACTGATGTTGGCATGGTGGTGTCCTCATCTCCATGAAGCAGATGCTGCTGGTTTTTATAGGCACTCACCATTAACCTCTGGGAGCTACCAGTCTGGTCCAGTATCACACTCCCCCGCTTCTTTTCTTTCTAGCCTTGACTTTATCACCTTTTTTTTTTAAGGCAGCTCAGAGGGTTTGCATGAAGGTCAGTGGTCTGGTTCCCTCATGTGGATAGATTAATCACTCATGCACATCACTCCTGGGGACAGCAACTGAAATGACCAACAACCACCACTTGCCTACAGCAGTCGTTTGGTGGCTGGAGCATCTGCGACATTGTCACATGAAGCAAAAACATTAGAAGATACCAACAAGAGACCATTAACAGAGATAGGGAGAAAAATAATGGATAAAGTTAATCTGGATAGGCCAGTTCCTATCCATTATCAGTACCTCAGAGAATGATAAAGAGAGGATGCGCACGGAACACAGCACCCTGTGAAATACTCACTTCCCCCAGGGAGGCTGTCTCTGTCGAAGATACACAGCTTGTACCCAAACTCATTCTCCAAGACTCCTCGCAGCGTCAGCAACACAAATTCCTCCTCCTCCGCGTTGCGCGCGTAAGACACGTACACATCATACTCCTTCCCGTCTGGGCATTGGGAGCACAGAGAAACACAAACGGCAGAAGGGACACTTGTGATACTGCACATGCTGAGCCTTTGAGTTGCTTCACAGGAAAAGCAGAAATGAAGGCTTGCTTTGAGCCCAGACACTGCAGGTTAAGGCACATCGATTTCCATAGTTACAAGCCAGCAGCGCTGCCTCTTTGATTACCCAGCCTGAACATGCAGGTACTCAAGACACTGCTGGGTTGCTGAAGGTGTGAGACCACAGCAAAACGACCAACCCTTTCTGTCTAGGGTCCTTTTGTCTTTTGACACCTTTACCATTGCTTCCTTTCATTGCTGTCTATCTGCATGAGCAGTCCCACCAGACAGAGACTTGCACCCTGCCTACACTCTCCGAGAGCCGTCGCATCCCCTTGGCAGGTTCACACCACAAGCTGCAAGGGCTCAGACACCCTCCTCATCCTACAGAGGAAGAAATCTCAGCTCAAAGTCCCAAGCGATGAACTCCCAGTAACACAGGGAATCTGTGGAAGAACTGAGGAGAGAAGGGTGATTTCCTGATTCATTCTTTTGGGTGCCTTATCGCATTTTAAAGCGAATCACCCTGGATTTGTCAATCTTTACATAGAGTCACCAGAGAAACCAGGGACTTACTGAAACTTGAGGACTTATCTTGACCATCTAGATCAAATGAAACAGCTAGCCATCAGCAGGACAGTGCCCCAGGGAGCCTGACACATCCATGCTTCACCTCTGAAAAGAATACAGAGGATTTCTCTCTCATTTCCTCTGACCCAAGCCTGACTCCTCTTGCTCTAAAATGACCCACACAACTGAATGCAAGTATAGAAATAGAAGGTCAAGATGTCATTATGTTGTGAAGAGGGTTAAAAATAACTTATATGAAAATTCCTAGAAGAAAACAAAGGGCCTGGCCTGTAGCAGGTTAAAATAAATGTAAATCCTTTAACTCCTTACCTAGAATGGTTTCATCTGTTCCAAAATGAGCCCGATAGAAGAGGACCATTTCAAGCCAATAAACATGATAGATGACTATCAGCACCACAACAAGCAGGATGGTTGCTCCCAGTCCACACGCCAGCTCCACAGTGTACTTCGGTGCTACAACTGGATTCAAAAAGAAAGAGGAGGTCTGGTTTACAGAACAGGTTGGACCTTCAGCTAAGCAGGAACAAACTTGTGACAAGCACCACAGAGGAACAGCCGAGCCCCAAGTTGGCCTTTTGGAGGAAGGTGGCCAAGTCAAGGTTTTTCTGGCAGGACAAGTGATGGCTGGCTACCCTGGAGTCCCCATTCTGGGTTACTAGGTCTGGTTGGGCTGGCTGAGCAAGTCAAAGCACAGGCTGGACTTGTGTCTCTGAGTGAGACCCTTGGAGCAGCCAGATGGTAGAATGACTTGATGGCAAACACCCGCACAACCCAAAACCAGGTCATGACTGTGACCTTCTCAGCAGTATACGCAAACTCTTGGAGCAACACAACAGCACTTAATTCTACTAAAGCCAGCCAAAGCTCACCTGCAGCAAAATAAAGACAATGGCCACCATTTTCCCTCCCCATCAAACACACACAAGTCTTGTGACTTAGTCCTAGAGTGACAGAAGGATATAACTAGCCATTGTTTTGAGATTATTTTCTACCAGGAAAGAAGAATCAGAGTTTATTACAGAAAAGCTGAAATGCTTGCAAATAAATAGGACAACCTGAGGACATCAAGCCAGAACATCACAGGCTCCCCTCCAACTCATACAGTGTCTGTCATACCACTGCTGCTACTTTGTATTAAGGACAGAAAATAACTCTTTTAACCGAACCCCTGGGCAACTCCATTTTATGGCAATTCTGGTGGCAGCTGACATGCACACTGGCAAACTGCACAATAAAAGAACAGCAATGAGTGGAAACATCAACAATTTCCAAGATTTAATAAGTTTTATTAGAAACTTAATTAAAGAAAAGAAAATGGAAGGAATTTAACAACTTTCATTAGGTGATGAGCAACAGAAATACATGAGAAGGACAGGGAAATAATCCAGAAAAAGCAGAAAACATATATAACCTAATGTAATGAAAGTGTTGCAGCCAACTCGCTGAAAACTGAAGACTCCTGGTGAGGAGTTAGGTTCTGGCACGCTTGATGGTGTGGTGGGATGGCCTGCAGTGAGCTTAGCTTAAGGTTGCTCTGCCAGCAGTGGTTGGGGGTGGTTCTTGGATTTTGCTGTGCAACAGAGCAGAAAGGAGGGGTGGTGAGTAACCAGGTCTGCTCAGAGCAAACCCACTCAACTGCCCAGGAGCAGATGGGGGAGGAAGAGAGAGGATAGGACAGATCAGTCCACTAGAAAACAGCATTTAGGCACTACTGCATAGAGAAAGAATTTTAAGATTTTAGATTTGCTTCTGCTATATGTACAAACGTTATTATCCCAGAAGAATTATGCATGTAGGATGAACACACTGGCAGATGGTTTCAGCCTCAGTTGCGTGTTTGGTCTGTCATTCCTTCCTAATGATCCAGAAAAGGTTTGTCTCAAAGGAATAGGACTTACTGGAAGAGCTCTCTTCCTTTTAAGAACTTTGTGAGCCATGCTAATAGGGCACAGTGGGAGGAAGAAGGTAGCTGGCATGAGCTACACAAGGCAGAACAGCAGCCTTTACGGGAAAGGGCAGGTCCAACCTACAGTAAAGCAGGCATTGAAGCTCTAGGTTGAAAAGGAGGCAGAAATATACACCTTAACCAGGAAGTCTCATGTACCTACAGTGAACGCTCAGTTTTTATTACTGAGAAGTGAGTCTAGGAAACAAGAACAAAATCTGTGATGAAAGAAAGTTGTAGGGAAAAAAATCCCACAGAACAGAGCCGGATCAATCCTTACCATCCCTGCTGAGATGGTTGTATCTATACTGGAGCATCATCACAACAAGGAGTAAAACCACAGAGTCTCATGGTTAGGCTGTCTCACTCCCTGAGTAAGGTCAACGAGTGCAGTCTGCCTTCTGGAGGAAGCCAACTGGTAGCTGTTGGGTCACCCAAAACCCTCATGCAATCAAGTAACCTGAAATAATTTCAAGCAGCCTGTGCCCTCAGGCCTGCTTCAGTTGGGGTACATGGACAGGATGAGAACAACAGGTCTATCCACCCCTCCCTCTCTCCAGGCACTTGACTGTGGTAGGGTATATGTGACATGCATCCTTTGTTCCCTGCCTCCAAGAAGCATTGCAGCATGACAGCAATAATACAGCACTCTGTATGGAAGAGCGTGCGTGGGGGAAAAAGCTCTGATAGAGTTATTTATTCCCCTACTGTTTTGCAGGGCAAGGCTCAAGGCAGGACCAACAGCCCTCTCTGACCATGCCTCATTTCTCACCCATGTTCTGCAAGAATTTTACCTTTCATGCGCACTATGGCCTGGCTGTGGTCCTCGCCCTTGGCATTTCTGGCATAGCACGTGTAATTCCGTTTCAAGTCCTCTGCTGTGGCTTTTGCTACTGTTAGAGTCCTTATGATAGTTTTGTCTTCAAAATCTCTAGTAATTTCACTGTAAGAGAAAAGCTAGAGCATTACATATGTAAAATTGCAGCAAATTCTTAGTGACAAATACTCCTTCCCCTGATATAACCCAACCCTTTCTTTAAAAAAAAAAAAACAAAACCGAATACCTAAACTGATAGTTAAAAATTGATACACATTTCCATTTTTAATACAGCTGCAGCTGCTCCTTTATCTGATTTTCCTTAATATTTATTTTGCTACTCATAATTTTCTCATTCCACTGAGTCACACTGTAATTTAGAGATGAAGTTCTTGCCTACAAAGCAACAAGACCTTATGAACTTAAGATTCAGAGTCCACATCACATTCCCTGTGCAATCCTGGATGAGTCACTTTGTCTGTGCCCAAACTGATCATCTACAAAAATGGGGATAATAGCATTTCCTTTTGCCTTTTCTTTTTCTATGTAGGTTTGCAAATAGATGGGACAACAACTGCCTCCTACACGTAATTCAAAACTGAGCAAACTCAACCTTCTTTGGATTCTTCATGTAACTGAATCTCTATTCCTCATAATTGATACGATGTATAATACTACATTTTTGGTTTCAGCCTCTGTTTTTTGAAACATCTTTATCACTTAATGCTATTTAGGAACACTGCTCTAAATAAAATTGTGTCTGCCCCTGTTTTACAAGTCCGACAATAGCACCAGCTGTTGTCACCACTACCAGCACCTGAAGGAGTGATGACGTGAACTAGTAAACAAAGCTCCCTCAAATCCTTCTGTATGTTGAGAGACTGTCCAGGCCTGGAGGCCTCCTCCCTGGAGCTCATCAGAGCATGGTGCAGGCATGTACCTACACTCTCCCTACAAGACCCAAGAGAAGGTTAAATACAAATGAAGGTTCACATTACTATATTACCTTTGTGTGACTTTTATCTTTGGGTCCATGATGTCATCTGTGTTTTTCCCATCTATGGTCCACCACACCTCAGTCCGGGAGTCCTTTAGGAAGGTGAAAAAGACCTCACAGGACAGAATAAGGTCATCTCCTGGGAAGAAAGGACCACAGTGTGGTATTGCAAAGCAGGAACAGCATCACCCTGACTTTTGTGCTTTCCCATACTCCTACCAGCCCGAGTGAAGACTGCTGCTAATCATCATCATTGACATCACATTTATTACATCAATGTAATGGGACATGATCTAATCAATATAGGGAACTGCTCCAAAGAGCTATCAGTCTTAACAGATAGGGTGGGGGAAGGGGTGTGGTATCCCATTACAAAATGCTGTGAGGCCAGCAAAAGAAAAGCTGTCATTAATTAGGAAGTAATCAGCCAAAAAGGGAGAGAAGATGAGAAGGAAGCTGTCAGAAGGTTGAAGCTACCTCAGGGCTTAATGAAGGAGGGTTGGAGCAAACCTTGGTCAGTGACAGGGCTGAAACAAGGTCCTACAGGAATTTCTTTAAGCAGCTGAGGGTGCCCGTTTCATTTTCTTCTGCAGCTGCAGTCCTGCATCTCCATGCCTGAACATCTATCTTTATTTGTGCTTGCAAAATGAACTTTTAAAGCTACACTCTCCTATTCTGGCACGGAAAACTGGCACCCCACACAGTCTGCCAGGCAATTTGTAGCAGCTTGATTGCTCTGTGAAGGAAAGCACCAGGGATGCAGTAGAAGGGGAGAGCTTCTGTGCCTGGCTGGGTCTCCCCTCCCGGCAGACTGCTAGGGCAGTAACAGCATGCAGTGAGTGTTGCAATTACCTGCTTCCACTTCATAGACAACTTTCTCATTTGGAGAGGTGAACTGTGGTGGCAAGGCCTTGTTCGGAGATCCTGCAGGAGAGAACACAGAGCCCCCCATGGGGACCCGGACTTCATGAGAACCTGGAGTCCTTGCAGCCTCACTCATGATGCCCTTGCACCCCCCTGCACACGCCCCAATCTAACTCGTGATACAATCTTGCTGCAGAGCCCCATGCAAAGAGAAATCTATTCCTAGTCCCCAAACTCAGGTCCAGACCCAGATTTTGAGGTTCCTCCAAAGTTTAGGTGAGTATAGGTCCAAGTTTTTGGACCTTTTACATCAGGAGAACTCCATACCCCTCTTATCTCCCACTCAACATCTCCCACAACACACAACCTTTACCAGTTTCTTATTATTGCTGCTTCTAAAAAACCAAAATAAAGCATCATTTCCTGTTGCAAGTATTTAATTCGGCTCTTAAAACAGCAGTTGCCATGGGACTCAGCACGTGTCCTACTGTTCACTAAGTTTTTAAGCTCTGTCTACAATTCCCTGCCAGGTAGGCTGAGCCCTTGTGCCTGGGACAGACCTGTCCAAGCTCTGGGTTGGGTAACTGGAGCCCTGCCTGCCAACTGATAGTCTCACCCTCAGCAGGCAAGGTTTTGAGATTGCAAGAAGACTGAGGCAAGCTGGCTCTAATGGGACAATCCTACAAAGAATGACGAGCAAAGGGCACCCAAGACAAAAATGAGCTAGAGTGCAAGGGTTATGCATTTACATGCCAGCAGAGGGTACCCCTGGCCATCTCATGGGTTGTACCTCACCAGCTTAAGCCTGGTCACTCTTTGTAGTGTTTGGGGCATTTGACACAGAGGTGGGTAGGATCTCCAGTGCAACAGATCCTGGGCAGTCACGCAAGGCTGACCCCAGCAAGCAAAAATGTACCAGGTCAGTTGGGTAATGTAGATAGAGCACAACCACAAATGGATCCTGTGACAGATTCTTCTAGCTGTTTTCACCATTTCTGCAGCTATCCACCTGAATTTTACACATTTTAAACTCATTCTTACCCACCACCTTCATCTTTATGGTTCTGGTGAGATTATAGGTTCTTCCGTGGTCCTTGAATGTCACAATACAGGTGTAATTCCCTCTATATGCACTGCGGACAATGCCGATGACAAGCCTAGGTCCTTGGGGGTATCGCTCATGGAAGCCATTGATCAAGTTGCAGTCCTGGAGTCAGGCAGAAAAACGTTTGAGTTTTCCAATTCAAAAGTAAACATATCGGCTTAAATGCTACTTCAAAGATAGCTTTTCAACTATGAATATAATACTTGGAATGATGTAGGTCAGACTTAAATACCATGAACTTTAAGCATGTTGGAAAACAAACTGGTATGTTCACCTTGAAAATGAGGTGATGAAGCAGATGACCCTAATAGTTTTATCCCACCTTAAATACAGACAATTTTATAAAAGAGAGATCTCTGATCCAGAAGTACATCTGCTCATCAAGGTGAGCACCTCAGCAGAGTGAAGAATGAAAGCAAAAAGAGACAGGAAAAAAAATGATGACGTATTCACGAATGGATATGAAGACTAAAGGACATGAGCCCCGTTGATGTCAGCATGTCTAACTCTCTTGGGACTAATCAAGGTACTCTGACTGACTTCAGCTGAGGATGAGCTCCCAGAATCGGCACCTGGCAAATGAGAATCTGTAGTACAGAAACCTTGATAACTCTTCTCTTTCTGTCAGGCGAGGCAGGAAACCTCTGCCAAGTACCAAGCTAGAGATCCCTTTTCAGAAAGGGGTTATGCAGATGACATCTTGATTGTCATAAAACCCAAAGATGTGCACATTTTCTGAGACATTATTTCTGAATGGTACATTTCCAAATCAGATACATCCTAATGGGGCAGTATAAGACAGGGGTCATATACCATTTTTAATGATTTTTATTAGGCATGGGATGACTTGCTGCCTGAAAAATTACTTCCATGGGGATTTTTGTTTCATTCTGCTAATTGATTGTTGAGATGTGAATTTTAATGAATGGTACAAGTAAAGCATTTCAACTGCTGGAGTGAAACTGCTCCTCTTGGATATAAAAGTAAGTTTTTCCTGAAGAGTTTTAGAGTTGTTTTTTTTTTCTTTTGGGGAGGTTTGGTTTTTTTTTCTTTTTTAAATCAACAGATATATTTGTTGCCAACTTACTCTATTACTAAATTCACTCATACAGAACCTTCTATCTAGAAATCCAAAAAGCACTTTATAAGCAGTTAGAGAATTCAGTCCCATAACCCTCTGGCTGCACATCCCCTAAGAATTCTTATTCTGTCTTGACTAAAGGCATCTACCTAGAGAAAAATATTGAGGTCAAAATTTAATAAAATTGAGCAGTAATTCTGTAGGCAAGAGCCTGAGGATGGCTGGAGACAGCCTAATTATCAGAGCAGTAAGGAGGGTGGGGTAGGGATGTCTCCATCTTCAGAAAAGAGGTTTGCTGAATTGTGCCAAACAGGGCACCCATGGTTCTTGCAGAAGTTTGACGTACTACCTCATTTCCTGACCTCAAAGGATTTTGGAAAAGATGTTATTTTCATGAGCAGGTGGTTTAGTTATTGTTTGTTTTGTTTTGGTTTTTTTTCTTAAAGAAAAGGCAATATGAATCACAGTTTCTGTTACAGGGATAGCGACTGGCTCACACAGCAGGTGAGGAATAGTACCTGCAGCTGATCTGAGGTTCCTAAATTCCTGCTAGAGTACTCTCTATGTGTGACCGCTGGTTAAAAAAGTTTCAGTGTTAGGTCTCAATTCCCTTCCAAGAGCAGTTTTACCCTTGAACTCAAAGGAAACAAAACTCTTAAAATTAGTAAACCTTCATTAACATCTACATCACTGGGGAGACTCTGAAACATAGCTCCACAATTCTCATGCCAACTATTGCTTTTTCAGATACAACACTGTATTCCCCCACTGCCCAAAGTGCTTCTTACCAAGTACCACTTGACAGTTGGTGTTACACTAGCAGGGTAAAACCCATCAATATCTGGACATATGATCTTCTCATTGGGGTGCTCCAAATAGAACATCTCCTCAACGGGTTTTATTGAACGGCTCACACAAGAGTGTTGGTCTTTCGGAACAACCTCCAAGGGAAATGCAACTTTGCTGCAGTAGGTTGTATTTCTAAGGACACAGGAGGATAAGGCTGATTAGTTGAAACTTGTTTACTCCTATAGCAGTGGAATGAAATAGAAGTCACATCTGCAATAACGAGCATCATAGTGCTGATAAGGTACATACAGCCTTAGTTGATTCATTTATAAATGGGAAAGAAAACATCATCAGAGATGGCCACACTAGTTCAGAAAAGCCTATAAAGATGACTAACAAGCAGCACCCACTCCCCCGCTGGCAAAGCGGATAATAGGGTCAAAGACACGGTGAACAAGAGACAACATGAGGAAGATCAAAAAGAGCTCATGTGCTCAGTGCGTAGCAGATGCTATGTTCTTTTTGTACCACACTTAGAGACACTTTTAATTTCCTAGAAGTCTGAATCTCATGAATCTTTGCCAAATTAGCATGCAGTCAAAACATTACCCCTGCATCTGAGGCTATTTTTACTCTAGACATACAGATCGCTTCTTAATGGCGAGTGCCTGTGGATTTTGCCATGGGCTCAGCAATAATATTTTCATGGACACTTACAGCCAGAAAGGAGAGGCATGTTCATTAATGTTTGCAAGGCTCCAAGCATTATTACAATGTAAATTGGCTCAGCACTGAGCGGTCTTATAATTGTAACATCCTTTTCCCATTAATGCTTATGTGAATGGTCTCCCTGCAGAAAGACCTGGTGCTAACAGCATAATTTTCCCGCTTCCATGAAAGTCCTTCAGTTACGCTGAAGACATACAGAAACTGCACTGCACAGACCTACCTGAGCATGCATGTATAATTCCCAGTGTCATTGAGAAGGGCAGGCCAGAACCAAAGGGTGTCTTTCTCCTTACTGATGTGATTGTCCGGGAGACGAAAATTAATGGGCTCCTCCAGATCCCGGTCCTGCCCGATCCTGTACCAGATCAGGGTTAAGCCAGCAGAATGGGCTGTGCTGTAGTTGTATTTCAAGAAGGTCTCGAAAAGTGGGCATTTGATCTTGGCAGGCTCCCCATCATAAATCTGGATCTGCTTCATGGTGTCCACACCCCAGTCATCGCAGCGTTCTGCAGCCACAAAGAACAAGGTACCTTAGCTTACAAGTCTGTGGAAAAAACACAGTTCTGCCCGTGTTCCCCACAGCCCTTGGTCCTGTCTCTGTTAAAATAAGAGGCAAAAATATTGTGTTCTCAGTGAAACCAAACTGAGCTTTTGTAAGGCAGAGCACGAATACTGTGTTCATTTCTAGACAACCTGCAAACCTCTACTTTCATTTGTACAATTCCTTCCAAGCTATTTATCCCCCATCAGGACAATATGATAGGATAAGATATTCCGGCATAACACCGGCTTCCTAGAGAGCTCCAAGAAAATTCAACCCTAAAAATAACCAGTGTGGGAAGATAAAATTTGGAAGAAAACAATGCTAGAGGTGTGTGAGCATCCATGCACAGTGATAGGGAGGATGGAAATAGAGGTGTTGGAAGGAAAAAAAAAAAACAAACCACAAAAACCCCCACAAAAACCCAAAAGGCCAACAAACCAAGACTGCAAACATCAACCCTCCCTTAGAGCTATGAGCCATTGCTCCTGCCAGAAGCAGCTGGACTGTGGGTTCTAGGAAGAAGTACTGTCTTTCCTGTGATGGATTCACACAACGCCTGTGCATGCTATGATAACACAGGGTACCAATGACATGTAGTGACTATTTATGGTGAAGTTTGGGAAAGCAGGCTGAGGGGCAGAAGAGGGAGTATGGAGGAGGTGGTAGCATGCTATCTTGGGGATCCCCAGACAGCCCTCGGGTACATTCCCCAAACACAGTTCAACAGGCTCAGCATGGCTCACCACAGACTCAGGCTCACAGAGGAACTGGGAAGCACAAAAAAAAGCTGTTCAGTGCCTCTTCCCCCCTCCCTTTTTTTTTTTTTTTAATTTATTCTGGTCATTAGTGAATAGTTTCAGAACAAACAGCACAGTCAAAACCTATTTCTCTTGCAAGAGTTCCTTTCCGCTCCATTCTTCCTGCCCATCAGGATGCCCAGTCACGAAGGGAGTTGGTGCCACCAAAGCACGATGTCAGGGTGTCAGCAAACCTGAAAGCAACCTGCTCTGCCCGCAGCACATAAGGAGAAGCTGCTGTCACTGCATCTCCCGTCTCCCTGCGCTGACGAGGCAGAGCGTGGCACGGCACACTTCCCAGAGCATCCCTTGTAGCTGCTGGGAGGCATCAGCTCGGGCAGCCTGACGTCTGAGAGCCCAAAATGAGTCAGAGAGGGGTGTGCTGCCTGCAGCGGTCCCTGGGAACGGTGTCTCAGCATATCACAAGCACAGCAGAGACAACACTGCAAAGCCTCTCCGGTTTGCAGATGTTAGAAGGACTCGGACCGAGAAGAAAAACAGAATACAATATGCTCTTTGAGCCCAATTCTTCTGAACTGACTTCACAGGCCCAGAGCAGGATTTCTGGCATTTTATCTTCCTTAAATAGACAGTGGGATGTAGCTTGGCCCCAAATTCATACTTAATTAAAAAAAGCAAAGAGATAAACCTTTGAGAAGACAGGCCCAGAGTGCTTAAAGGCAGTAATGCTAACTCCCGTGGCTCAGCAATGGTTAGTCAGCGAGGAGGAATCTAGGCCAGTAAGAATAGAAATGTTTTCTGGTGGGTTTACACATAAATGTAAATGCAAACGGCACTGCTCCTTCAGTGGTATGTCCAACACCTGTATGACACAGTGCTACTTCCAGAGGGAAGAGAGTGAGTTAGGCTAGGAAGGGGCAGTGAAGCTACAAGTATTTGCTCATAGGAACCCCAAACTCAAATGACTGGAGAGTGCCATTGCTCATCATCTAAGAAACACACAGATATTTCTTTCAAAACTGCACAGCATCATCCAGTACAGCTGCCCAGCCAGTGCCAAGGCTCATTTTGAAAGACCAAACCACTATTAAAAGCCTTATACCATGGGAAGGTGCACAGTCACCACCATGGTCAAGGCCAACAGGAACCAGTATGGTGTCTTATGCTGATGAAATCAAGCTACTGGATTAGGCATGGTCAAGTTTCCATAGAGTGGTAAATGAGACAAATGAGCCTGCCATAGATTGCCTGTTAATTGCATGATAAAGCACTAATTACTATTCAGGGAGGGAAGCATTTGTTTTTCCCTCTGAAAGAAGCAGACCTGGGTCTGTACATCAGGAGACCTGGGTTCTCTTCCCAGCACCTGAGTTTGGTGTCTCCTTTTGGGCTGCATAAAGGCAAATTGCCCTTAGCACTTCAAATGGCAGGTCTGGAGAGGAAGAAAACTGTGTAAAACATTACAGTGCAGAAATTCTTGGAGTCAAGATCAATGAAATTTGCAATCATGAGCAGCTCTTGCATTTTGCGATAGCCTATAAATCAGCATCGTAAAACTACTTACCTGTTCTAGCTGAATGAGTTATTGAAAAGAAATAAATAAAATTGTTTGTATTTCTTTTTTTCCTAAGTTACTCAAAAGCAACATACGGGCCTTGTCTACTTGCTGGGGAAGGTGCAACTGTTATTGCTCTTTAGTATGAGAGCTGTGGCTGAAGATTTTTGTCTCAGAGCTGGCTAATTCACCTGACTTCTGGAACACTGCCACACCAAACAGCTAGTCCTAAGGCTCCCCACACGCCTCCTGCCTTGGGGTGCTGCGTGCTCTGAGCTGAACCCTGAACACAGGACATCACCATGCTGGTAACCAGCAGCTACACCACAGACCACAGGAGCAACCGCGCCACTTGAGTCACCACCCTGATGGGGGAACTATATGCACCTCCATGGTCCCTTCCACACTGCAGAAAATGGAGCACTACACACATAACAGAGGGATATAATAAATTTCTCTTAAAATACACCATTCCACAAATGCATCTTCCTAGAAATGCCCCTGAGAAATGCTTTTGAAAGAAGCCGTCTTTTTCTCATTACGGATGAGCTGTACTGCAGACACCTTGGCTGACCCCTCTTACTGCTGGGTGCTCTGTAATCACACAGCAGGGCAGTCTGTGACCCATAATACCTACCTGTGACGGACAATGCAGGAAAAAAAGGCAAAAAATGGTCCTGTTTCCATAGCCCTGCTAGGAAAAAGGGAAGATGATTATGCAGGCTGGAGGGAGGCTGCGTGGTAGAAGGAAACACCCACTTCCAGCATTGGAAGAGAAAGCGCAAGACAGAAAGGTCAGGGTGAGGATGCTCATCTTGATTTTATGTGCCTTGAGATAAAGATAAGAGGACGTTGCTGTGTTACTGCTTCTCCACGAGGCACACTGCCAACTGGGTGAACTGGCGAAGTTAAGTCCGAATGCTTGGATTGTACATCACAAGCCGTGCTCATAGGGGTATCTACTACTGATACAAGGGACAGAAATCTCTCCTGTTAAGGAAATAGTCAGATCCGTCCCCTTTCTGAATCTGAATCTACAACGCCCTTAAACACCAGGTATCCCAAAACAGACTCCTTCTCAGAAGCCAAACAAAGTTGGAGAAAGTGCTTCTCCAGATGGAAAGCAGAAAATGAAGGGGGAGAGAAAAAAAAAATAATGATATCGTTCAGCTACATAAAGGTGAAAACAGACATTTCTGGAAAACTTTCCAGCCTTTCACTTATTGCACTGACTTATCCCCTTGGGAACAGAGCTACACACACACCTGAAGTGCTCTGGAGATGCATCTGCAGCACCCATTACAAGCACCCACACAGTCAAAACAGAAATAAAATTGGTGCAATTATTTTGGATTTGTCAAGAAGCGACAAACTGCTTAACACATGGATTAAAAAAAAAGCCACAGTAAGGCCACATCAAGAAATGCTGTCCTATTTTGTCTACAGTTTGGTATTTATATGCAGTCGTTTTAAGTACCTCCATTTAAAAATAAAACGAAATAAAACAGAATTTTCAACCACCAAAACTCACCAGCTCCACACCACTTCCACCTCTTCCCTCCCCTGGTACTATAAACAAAGGCTTCCCCTAGATAAAATTTCTGTGAAGAAATAATAAAGAGCCATCCTTATGAGAGGCCATCTATCATGCCAGCACAAATTACCCAGTCATTTGCCAAATTGACACACCCGTCTTAATCGTCTCTAACTTTGGGAGGGAGGCCTGCCTTGCATGCAGACTAGGACGGTGCAGTGGCAGCAGGACACGAAGCCATCAATGGGGCTGGTTGGATGACACAGCAGAGCCCTTTTCCCCACACCACTTCAGTGCAGCCCCATCTGATGCTGCTGTTATCTCAACAGCTTCCTACTTTCCTCAGCCGCCCCTGCTGCATTATCTTAAAGCAAAGCTGATATGAGTCAGCCTCCACCCGGGGAGCACAGCCAGGTCAGCGGTTAGTTCAATGCAAGAATCAGCATCAATAATGAGAAAAAAAAAAAAAAAGAAAAAAAAAAGGCAGCTGGTCACACAAAGTGATTAAGTGAGAATTAATCATTACTACCTTAAAAAAAAAAAGATATTTTTCCCCACCTTCATTCAGGCTCGCTGCAGTTGATGAGAAGGAAGCAGAGGAAGTCAGGCTGAATAGAGGAGCTACACTGCGAGCAGAGGAGGTACCAGCTGTGGCCAGCAGCCATGCGTGGGTGAGCTTCCCACTTACACCGGTGCCAGGAGCACCCACTCTTCCACGGCGTCTGCGTTTTTCCTTTCACACGTGCATCCAGCACAGGACCACCCCATGCTCCCCTGGCCCTGTACTTTGCTCAGCAGCGGAGCAATTAGGTAGCATTTCCCAAGCCATCTGTATCCCATCTGACCATACCACATGGAACAAAACAAATAAGAACATCTTCCCTAGACTTGGACAAGAGGTACAGACCCAAACACACTGAAATTGGTGGGAATGACAGAGACCAGCTAGCTCTCACCATTTGCTCCCACTACCACCACAGCAACAACAACAGTCAGAGAATGCCTAAAAATTGGTTGTAGCTCAATGTGCTGCCTTGGAGGGTCAGCCTGGAAGCTACATGAACTCCGCAGAAATTTATACTCTGACTTCCAGTCATCAAAAGGTCCTGTCGTAA